CCACCCCACACAGCGACGCCGCGGTCTTGCCCCTATTAATAATCATGGCGAGGAGTCTTTTGTCCAGTATAGATGTCCATAATCCTGCCACCTGGAGGCAATATTTTGTACTACCTTTTACTGGCGTCCTGCGCAAAGTGCGTTTGAATTCGTCGTGGTTTCGGGAGTCGATTACCGATTCCAGAACCCAACGCACGTATTCCATGGTTCAATACAGAGATTCTGGAATCCAATACACTGATTCCAGTATAATATGGGACCTCTATGATGTGGTGTTTGCATGGATATACATGCGTATGTGTATATATACGTATGAACATGTCCAGTATATGTACTTCTGTTATCGTACGGTTGATTAGGAGTGAATATTATAACATATAACGTAATCTAAATAAGATTGATATAAGTGGAGGAGTAAATTTTTAATCAAGGTTTTAATTACAATACTACTTAGTTTGGTAATGTGACTCGAATGTGTGGTATGTTGTACTACTGTAATGTCTGCAACGTTTTATTGTAATTTGTAAATTTTAATCACATACGGTTCATTTACGGTTTTACTTACGGTTAAAATTTAATGTAGCAATTTTAGTCAATTGACTCTATGTATTGCCAAAGGTGCATTCATATGTTACATTGAAAAACATAGTAAAATTGAATGTAATTATCAAAACACGTTTTAGTCTGTTTGCCAGCATGTCCGTTTCCTGTTTGCATAATACAGCAATATCCGTATCACATACAGCTGTATGAATGTTACTACGTAGTACGTATTCATGAAAACATCACTGAATCGGTCACAAATTGAAGATCAACTCAACTATTTATTGATTAATAGTCATCACTGTGATCCTGTGTGTAATAAAGTATCAGCCAACGTAACGGACCATAGCATGATATGCAAATTGTGTACTACACTATCTCCATGAATAAGTGACAGTACACACCAAACTGCATGCAGTGCCCCTTCGCACACTCAATATACCACTGCCACAATGCTAGCACTATTTTTAAAGTGGGCGGAGCTCGGGGGAAATCCAGCGAATGGAGATTCGTAAACAGCGTATAATTTGAAAGAGGTAAATGGGCGCACAATCCGCGTACTATTTCGTATCACAATTTTATCAAATTTTTCATGAAATAACGGTTGGATTTTTGATATCTTTGCAACTTTTATTAGTCCAAATCTTATTACATAGGATACGAGTAACGTGCCTGCTGTAAAACTTGTAGTAAAAAAGTGTTACAAATTGTAACCGAAATCTACTTGTGGCAGTGGTAGATTGAGCCCATGAGCGAGAGCGCCATCTGTCGTGGAGTTTGCGTACACACATGTACTTGTATACGTCCATTCATGTACACACACCATACACACACACACACACACACACACACACACACTTTAACGTGTGTGACGTAGATGCGATAAAACAGTCGAGTTTCTCATGATAATTGTCTGCGATGGCTGGAGCGAAAACGAACATATCGCAATACTGCCTATCTAACAATCACAGCCTCAACTGCTGCCGTCGCCGGAAGATTTGTCGTCGACACTAGGTGGCGCTGCCGCTTTCACCATATGCATTGCATAGCTGATGCTTGTGTCTCTACCCCAGCGCCACCTGTTGCTAAGCGGGTTGTAGTACATGCCATGTAGCAGTCGTGTCTCGCAGCCATCTGGTGGGAAAAATAACAAATAGAATAAAAGAAGAGTCAAACTAGAAATTGTAGTTCACATGAAGCATTTTACATTTTACACACATGAAGTATATACATAGCTTAAAGCCACAATATTCGCATCTACACGCTAATTTCTCCAGTACTAGACTAGCAAATACTTTGTGACATGCATAATCACACTACCTTATGACAAAATAAACTCTAGTTCCTCCCATTTCACTGCGCGTTTGCTTAAAACCCACAAGAAAGAGGTGCGAAATCTGGTAATCTGGCACCAACGCCGAATTGTTTGCCAAGCAATTTGGCCCCAAATCGGTTAGGTGACGTCACATGTTGCTACGGGTGTTGAGCAGAGAATATAGTCGTTTACATTTCAAGATAGTTGTAGTATTGTGAACTGCAGTGTATGTAACATCAATGGCTATTGGGAAAGTAATAATAGGCAGCGTAATAAACTCTGAGAATAACGTATTGATTTTAGGCTTGATATCGCGAACGATAACATGTCATTGCGCTAGCAGCGTGCGAGCGAAAAACGCACACGGGCCATAGAAATCTTTGCTACACCCGCTGTACGGTTGCTTGGCAGAGCAACGCAAAAGTGTCAACAACATCGGAGAATTTGAACAACATTGGAGGTATTTTCAAATACCTTTTATTTAAGCCAACGTGCAGTGAAATGGGAGGAACTAGAGTTTATTTTGTCATAAGGTAGTATGATTATGCATGAAACGAAGTATTTGCTAGTCTAGTACTGGAGAAATTAGCGTGTAGATGCGCATATTGTGGCTTTAATATCGTTATATATAACTCTTGCACGATTGTGAGGGAGAAAAACAACTCGATAAACATGAAGCTAAATGTTACCTCAATTAGCTTAGTGAGTTATTCCCTAATCATTTTCTCCACTACATGATCAAAATTGAGAGAGATGACTCGAATGTATGAAATTCAGACTAACTAAGGCACGAAGGGTCGTTGTCGTATAATGGCGTATAATATGTACCCGAGGTAACTATTTGATATGGTTAGGGTTAGGGTTAGGGTTAGGGTTAGAGAGTAGGCGTGGGCGACATACTCGCCGACACCTCGGGTACTATACTCGGATACATATACGACAACGACCCCTTCAGCCTAACTGAGAGCTCTACCAAATAACAACTTCCCCTAACATCTATCGACCTATATTACATTGGTTATATTATTTACATATTATATTACAAATGGTGCACCGACTAGGTCCACAATTAACAGAAAAAAACGCCACCATACATAACAAAACCACTATATACTCCAGGCAGGGTCACTGAATAAAATGTACACTTGCTTGCTTTCTCAATCTACACCAGGGTGCGCCACTACACACAAAAAACACTCGCCAGCCTCCGCAATCTCCTCGCAAATAAAACGCGCACTCACTCGCTGCAGCGATCTCCTGCAGGGTCGCTGGAGAGATGAATTTCTCCCAGTCGTGAGTTCCGTCCGGCACAACGCGTAGCAACTTCTCCGCCGCCACGATGCCCAGCAGGTACGAAGCCCACGTCTTGTTCAACGTCGTCATGAAGAGGGAGCCACCGGGCTGCGAAAGTACGCCGCTTTTGTTTACTGTGCAGAGTTGCTGAATTTTTTGGCATCTTTTTTTTTTACTAATTTAACTTGGTTCAACAGACAAACAGTGAGAATTTTTTTAGCATACATAAATATTAAATTTACCGATGGATGGGATTGATCGTGATCGGGAGTGACGTTAATGCTTTTCACCAGGTGGCACCACCTACTGCCTACCCTCCCCCCCCCCCAGGTGGAATGCAGTGTATTCACGCATTCCCCCAACGTTGCGCGAATCGCTCTCTTTCGTGACTTTACCTTGACTAGGTGGCAGCACGCACCGACAAAGGTCGTCTGCTCGTTGACATGCTCCACGACCTCGGACGCCACGACCGCATCAAAACAAGAGGGCATCTCTTCAGCCATGTCCTCCACAGTGCTCTGGACGTACGTCAACCTGCAGACGATAAGGAGAAACAGTAAGAGACCAACGATCAAGACTTTGTCAAGCTAGCGCAGTTTTTGTCAAAAAGTCGTAGTATCACAGCTGCGCGTATCCGTGTGTTTCCCCAAGCTGGAAATTCACGTCTCTGGCTGGAATTGTCCAACTAGTTTGGTAGAATCTCCGAACCCCATCTCCCCATCACAAACTCCTCTCACAAAAGATTTAGTGGGAAACAGTGATGCATAGTGGTAAAGCATTCTGTACAATACAAAAACAAATATACGAGTTTCCCAGGTTGGAAATTCTTGTCTCCTCATGTCCAGACTAGTTTAACTGATAGAATCTCTAGCCCCGAATCATAAAATCCTCATCGCAAACTCCTCTCACAAAAGAGTTAGCGGGAGACAGTGAGTGATGCCTAGTAATAAAATATACTACAATACAAACAAATGTATCAATACTCATCAAGAGTAGATAAATAACAAGAGTGAGACAACGGATTCCCGCATTTTTAACCGATTTTTCTCATCAAAATTTACCACCAATAAAGAAGCAAGTGTATACGTTCCTCAGCTTATTATGACCACTAATCACTCACCTTCGTGGTACTGATATTCGTTTACATATATTTGACAGCGTATTGCTGTAAATCGTAATCTTGCACGAGCTGAATTCGCACGATTTACCGCTTTTGTTGCGACCTGTTTAGTCATTATTCAGAAGCTATCGGAGCGCTAATATTTAGCAACGGACGTTTCCAAATTATTCGTGTCCCGATAGGGTTGAGAGACAATCTAAATTTCGA